AAAACTAAGAAGATCTGCATCTTGAAGGTCTTTAATTAACAAGAGTAAACTTTCATGCTCAGTTAGTGGTTGTGTTGTGTATCATGCATGCTGTGCTGGGTAGATTACCTACAAATTGTAGCTAGTCCTTACTGATTCCAAATGAATAATAATCCATTACATTACACATTTAAGGTAATAGAACTACTTTTATAACTCGTTTATCACATTGATTTGAATAGGACAATCTCGTAAAAATACAAAGTACAAATAAAAATATATGCCATTGTTTGTTATCAACAACATGAAGTGCATTGAATTTTACATTGCGTCAGGGTCTCCTAGATGGTTCGTGATGGAACTGCAGGACTTTGTGAGTTTAATGAAAAGCTATTAAGTAATTAAATCATAGATTTTTTTATTATTATTAAACGTGGTTAAATGGCTGATAATTCAAATAAACATTAATGTGTTCGAAAACAATTCTTAAAAGTGAAATGATTTCTGTAAATCCAGTGATCAAATGCTGTGGGTCTCAATTTTTAGCAATAGTCACATGTCTAGTGGCTGCTCTGTGTGTGCAATTCCATATATAGGCAGTAGGCTTTTTTTTAGAAAGAATAATATGTAATCAATAAAAAAGTACTGAAGTCTGATTAAGAGTAGATATTTTAAAATGTAATATCTAATTACAAGTATACTTATTTTTTGGAATCTGATTAGGCTATCCAAATTACATGCAATTATGTCCAGCAGTGCATGCATGGATGCCTACAATTATGACATCCCATTATACCAAAACAAATGTTTGACTCTTTCTGCCATTATTGAACATTAAGCTCCTGTGGATTAAAAAAAAATATATATTATCAATGTAAAACTGGTAGTGGTATACACAGAAAAAAAAAAGAAAAAAAAAAACCTCAAGAATGCATTATAAAATTGTAAGAGTTCGAAGTGATCATTCAGTGTAGATTTATACACAGTTTAATAATTAAAGCTTTGTGCAAATTATCTGTCCATAGTGCTATGGGAGCCACTGTATTGCACATGCTTGGGCTTTCTTTTTTGAAAATATATTTAAGTGTCTACTGCCATTTAGTGGCTAAAGTCAGAAATGCAATTTAAACATGTAATGTTCGTTTGATTTTTGCCACAAAAGCTTTGGGCTACAAAAGAAAAAAGAAATACATTTCCCTTCTACACTTCTAAATGTTCTTTGAACTCCGAGACACTAAAATTGAGTGAATCAAAATAATTTATACTTATACATAGCTATTTATAAAAACCATTCTTAAAAGTACTTAAAGTACTAATTGTCTTAGCCTATATTTAAAGTGAAGAAACATTCACTTACAAATAAAAAAAAAATGTCTTACAGCAATGATATGTGTATGTTACAAACCATTCAATGAGCATGGGACCAAGTTATTCCCACCCATGGCATCTTACAAAACTCCATGTTTAATGTGATGCAAAGATGTAACTCTTGATCCAGCTATTCCATCACAGCCAGGATACTCACCTCCCTATGTTGTCTATTTCAAGCCTGTGGGCATTTCTGTCCAAGTGCACCTGATCGGTGCACCTGTTTCTTATCTTCCTTCCTGGGTTTCAGTCACACTTTGTGATATAAGCTTTCCCTTTTGATTGATGCTGCTGGCCTTGTTCTCTTTAGAGATAATGGGCAATTTCTGTCTTGAATCCACTAAACACTCACATGCTCAAGCCTTAGTTTTCCGATATCCATTTTTCCCTCTTATCTGCAGTCAAAAGAAACTCAAATCCATGGCATTCTCGTGCTTTAATGTCAAATTCGTTCTCACTTTTATCATTGGAGGAGTTAATTCATGCACCCTTCTTCTTGCCTGTTGCATAGAAGATGTATTTTTTTCTGACAGAAAAAAAACAGAAATCATAGTTGTGTCATTTATAAATTATAATACTAAATACATCCAAATAAATAACTACAATCTAATTATATCTATTCTATTATATATTTGCTACCTTTTAAAATTCATAATGTTGAAAATAAAAAGCTTTAAAGATATTAAATGTGCAGAGATTTGTTTAGTAGTTCAACATGAAGAGCACTTGAATCTTCAACCTTTTTGTTACTTGAAATAAATAGTACCGGTATATTATATAAATGATGTACTAACTATTTATATCAATATCCGACTAATACACCATAGATGTTCCTCAACTGTCTTAAGTTTTGGTTTATCTTGCGCTGGCCACCGCACTTACTTATACTGACCCACCGCACGCACTTATACTGACGGCATGCAGCATCATGCAAAAATAAAGGTTTACAGTATGGATGCGACTGTTAATGCGGTATATGTATAGTGACTTATGATGTAAATTGCGTTTCCTAATGGGCAGTTTGCGTGATCAACAACATTGGCATTAACATTCAGTGGCACATGCCACTCAGATAGGCTACTGAACTGATGTGCCACAAACTGACATGTTTTTAAAAAAAATATGACCAACTGTAAAAAATGATATGATCAATAAGTTATGACCACATATTTTTACATTATACTTCAACTCATTAAAATAAGCTGAGTGAGCAGCAAAGTCAGTTTAATGTAGCCTATAATGACTTAAACAGCCAAGTTGATTGTACTTAAAAAATTGTTTAAGTTAACATAAATTTAATTGTGTAATTTAAAAATATCACTAAAATGGGCTATTTATTAAGGATTTTGTGTCACAATTACATCAGTACGGATGCTCAGCTCACCTGTCAATCACTACTGGAGGTGTTACAACATACAGCGACATGTTCCGCGACACAAGCTTCAAATGCGGCCTCCATATGCCTAGTTTCCCGTAAAATGAAGGATACAACAGATGGATCCTTCGTGGCCTTGCCTACCCCAGAATTCAATGCGCGCCAGTGACGACAGGACTTTTTTGAGAGAAATTAAGGAATTGCACTTTTAAACGTAATTATTGGATTTCAGTTTAATCAAATATCCAATGATACAAATGTAAAAAAAATGAAGAAGAAAAAAACTTTTAAAGCGATTCAAGTGTTGACTTATCGTACTAGTTTATACTCTTTATTATATACAAATTGACCGTGGTGAAGATAAGACAGTTTGTGAACCTTGTTTTTTTTCAGACAGTTGAATATAACTTTCAAAAAAGTCTAGTACAAACGTTACTGCCACTCATCAACGGCAGCTAGGCTAGACCGTCCCATTTAACAATGCTCGTCCGACCTTCCCGGCCTTCGAAGGATTCCGCCTCTGAAATCCGAGTCCTTCGAAGGATGCATCCTCTGAATTAGGACACAGCGATACTGTCAGTGTAGGCCTACATGCCACTTAGGGTGGCCATTTCCATAACACCAAAAAGAGACGCAAGGTCTCTCGCTCTCTGCCGCGCGCTGCACGGTTTGGAGCACATATGTTCTGTCTCGCATGCGCGGCTCTAGATTCCAAGAGATTTGAACTAATTTACAGGCATCAGAGAGCCGCCATCATTATGCAGGATTTTTATAGGTTAATTTTTTTTAATAATTCAGCGCAACTCCAAAAAGGAGGACAAATGAGTGTCCGGCTTGAGGCTGCGCCGGACGCCGGACAGGGGGCTTAAAATTCGGACTGTCCGGCCAAAATCCGGACGTATATGGCCACCCTAATGCCACTATCCACTAGCACATTCCACTTGTTTTAAGTGACACATGCCAATTAAACCAGATGTGTCAATATGTGACATTCACGGGATGCAATGTTAATGTCCACTCCAGGGGCCGGTTGCATTGCTATAGCTAGTCTTAAAAGTTAGTCATCAATTTTTTTGTTCATAACTTTTTTAAAGTCAGTTACATAGAAAAAATGTAGATTGGTCTAACTTTATACCCAAAAGTAAGACTGATTACCCCTAACTAACTGGTAGTTGTTCGTACTAGTTCTTAAGACACAGTCTTAACATAATGCAACTGGCCCCAAGAGTAAACCAAAATAGCCTATAGTTTTATGGCCAAGACCAACCGTTTTGTTTATAATCAAATCAAATATTCTAAAATGAACTACAATTTAACTGAATATTTAGGAGACCATTCCAAAATAGGTCTATCTGTGGCCTATGTGGTTAATAACGGAAAAATACTGACAACGAAGTCCTGACGAATACAAGTCAAGTTCCTGTGTGACGTCAAACAGTCAGTCAGGAGGAGGCTCGCGCAATAGCATTTGTAACCCACAGTGAGCTGCAATCGTGCCTGACCGGTTACCGTCCCAATATTCCCAACACATCTGTTTTTATTTTCATCTTTTTTTCTTTCTCTTTTAGAAGAACGAAACCAAAATCCAAACTGAGGTCGCCTTAGTAAAGGTAACGTTAGGTTCTTTTGTATAAAACGTAAGATAAAATGGCTGCTCGTGTGAGAACAGAAAATGGCGTCGTTATAGAACAAACACCTGAGAGCGTTTCTGTATGTATTACTGTTCATATAAAATATTAAAATACGTGTCGGTCGTTAGACATATTAATATATATATCTCATTTTGGCTTCTCTCTGTGTCCTGAATCTTTAAAATGCCACGTGACCAAAGATAGCATGCAAGCTAGCCATTAACTTACGCCAAATAAATGTTGATATAACGTTATATGTTTACGTTTTATTGTTAACGTAAGTGAATCGGTCATCTTTCATGCTTTCAAAATAATTAAAACTAAAAGGCGTTATTTTCATGTTTTCTGTTTTTTTCTTTGTTGCCTTTGTTACTGTGTTATCAAGCAAATTGTCTCGCCTCTTTTGCTAAGAAAGGTGGAAAACCATTTTGTTTCCGACCAAATATTCGTAACGTTACTATAAAATGTTTGCTAACAGTTCAACCTCAATCTCTGATGTAGGCCTTTTCATTTTAAGGAAGAGGAAATCAGTAAATCTCTGACCAGACTAGTACCTCCTGTGTGTTTGTAATACGCAATCATTTCTTAACCTGTTAAGTTAGTTGTGTTTTCTCATGTTTCCTTGACTTTCTTTCTCTCTCATACAGTTCGGATTTCCCCACCCCGCCCTTTGATTATAATTTTTTTGAAGATTCTTCGTTGTCAAGCCGCCAAAGTGGAGAGTGTGATTGCAGAAGGGGGTGCTTCTCGTTTCAGGTGAGATCAAACATCAAGCACTGGCCAGGATTTGGCTACAAGTCTTTCTTAACATCTATAGAAAAAACATAGCTTAGCTATTGCCTAAAAATATAGGCACTTGTTGCCCTAAATATGTTAAAATAATTTTTTGTTCAGCAAAATTTTTCATTTTGAAGCACCCTATTTAAATGGGATTTCCCAATGTTGAAGCTTTTCAGGTCAAAATGATATGTATAGGTCTACTCTCAGATTAAACACCCATGAACATTGTGTAATGACTGGCATTTCTCTCTATCGCACACTGGTTCAGTTGCGTTTTAGACCCGAACATCTGCATTGACGCCGCACCAATCGCCTTGAGCAAGTGGACAGTTCAGTCGATTTAACTTAACTCATGACAGAGGGGTAAAGCATTTGCCTGAATTTTTAATTGAAGATTGAAATAATTGATAAAGATGGGAGAGTCACTCAGATATTGGGGTTCTTACCACGTTAAAGATAAAAAGTCATAAGGTGTATTAACTGGTCCACTAGTTCCTTTGTCTTCTGCTTTGCTATTTAAAATGGTTTCCACACCACAACAAATTGGATAACTGTAAGCCAGTTAAGTATTGGTTTGTGGTGGTTGTTGTGTGAAAAGCATTTTGAAGTCGTTTAATCTAATATTACTTTTGTTCTAGTGCTTCTTCGGGCGGAGGAGGTGGTAGGGGTGCACCTCAGCACTATCCCAAGACTGTCGGCAACAGGTATGCCATGCTAAAGTCAAGAGCATTCCAGCTTTGTAACATGCTTTAGAGACTCTAATTGCTTTGTTTGTCTTTAGCGAGTACCTGGGGAAAACCCCAGGGCTTAGCGTTCAGAGATGGGTTCCTTCACGAAGCACTAGACGAGATGTCAATTCCTCCAATGTCAACTCCTCCAATGAAAAAGAACATCACGATGGAATATTTAGGAAAGTGAGAGGGTAAGTGTCCTTAAGGAGCGTGAATATTAAATTAAATTTAGTTCACATTTATTTGTATAGTGCTTTTCACAATACACATCGTTTCAAAGCAGCTTTACAGAAAATGCATGGGTGATCAATGATCTGTTATTAGAGGTGACTGTGTCCAAGTTATGCATTTCAGAAATGTACTTATACAAATTGTGCAGTTAGCTAACAATGTATTAATTTAAGGCAGAAAAAAAAAGCTAATTGAAGTAATGAATACGTAATCAATACCAAAATGTAGCATTGGTGCATTTTGATTCAGAATATTCAATTCAGCAGTGATGAGCTTAAAGAAGCCTCTGTTTTTGAGCTCTTTTGTTCGTTGTGCTCTTGGCCTTTTGAGCATGTTTTTGTGGTTGTGTCAGCTGATGCTCTCAAGCTCAGATAAGCACGAATCTTTACGTGTGGTAAACTGTGGTCTTTGTTGAAACTGGTACAGGATGTTTATTCTTTGCTGTTGCTTTTCTCTTGTAGCATACTTAATAAGCTGACCCCTGAAAAGTTTGACAAGCTATGCCTTGAGCTTCTCAATGTGGGCGTAGACTCTAAACTTGTCCTCAAAGGAATCATCTTGCTGGTAAGCTAGTATTATAATTTAAAATGTCTCTTTTCGATTTTAAAATTTAATTATTATTGTGATGGCAAAGCTGAATTTTTAGCATCATTACACTAGTCTTCAGTGCCAAATGATTCTTTATAAATCATTCTAATCTTTTTTTGTTGTTGTTGATGTACAGATTTGTTTCTTAATATTTTTGTGGAAACATGACTTTAGGGTTCCTTAAAGTTCAAAACAGCAGCAGAAATAGTTAATTAATAAATAATTTCTCTAAAAAAAAAATCTTACTGACCTCACACTTTTTAATGATAGTGTTGGTGATGGGTTTTGCTCATGTAATCGATTGATTCATTGTGGTGTTAGTTATTATAATACAAATATTTCCACTATCATTCAACCCTGCTTGGACATTAGTTCTAAGCCAGATTACTACCTTTTAAAGAGCAACAGAGCTTCATATGTGTTTGAAACTCAAAAACCATCTTGACTAAGTGATTCTACGCAATGAAATTAAGCTATAAATATAGCTAAACATACTATACAATACTGAAATACCTGTGGCTACAATATTAATTGTTGTTTCCCATAGATCGTAGACAAAGCCCTAGAAGAGCCCAAATACAGCTCACTCTATGCTCAGCTATGTCTGCGTTTGGCAGAGGATGCACCAAACTTTGATGGCCCAACACCTGAAATCCAGTCATCGCAAAAGCAGAGCACAGTGAGTTCCTAAATGCCATTTATAAATTGAATGCCATATCTGTGTTTCTTAAGGGTTTGTTGAATCTGAAAGAGCTGTTAATTTCCAAACAAATGATTGGTTACCAAGCTAATTGCCCCTTTAGTTTTACTTTCTCATTGTGCACCATATTCATTTTCATGATTGTGTATTTCCCTGCAGACTTTCAGAAGACTTCTAATTTCCAAGCTTCAAGATGAATTTGAGAACCGTGCCAAAAATGTTGACAGTGAGTCACTTCTCCCCTGCTAAACCCATTTCACCACACACACACACATATACATACACACACTGTTTTGTTTTATTGCAAGGCATTATGCTCTGTGGCATAATTTCTAATATTTAAATGTCTCTGCATTAAGTCTATGACAAACAAGACAACCCTCTCACCTCTGAGGAGGAGGAGCAGCGTGCCATTGCCAAGATCAAGATGCTTGGCAATATCAAATTCATCGGAGAACTCGGAAAACTTGACCTCATCCATGAATCTATCCTTCATAAGTGCATCAAAACAGTATGTATCCTACTCAATTTCGCTCAACATATCCCACTCATCATTTAGTTCCACTCCATTTTGTTCTTTGGTTAATGGTGAGTCAGTGATTTTGATGAGTCATTCTCTACACTTTCTGTAGCTTTTGGAGAAAAAGAAGAGGGTCCAGCTCAAGGACATGGGAGAGGATCTGGAGTGTCTCTGTCAGATAATGAGGACTGTGGGGCCCAGACTCGACCATGAAAAAGCCAAGGTACCATCTGGCCCAAGAACATTTTAAGGTTCATCTTATTCACCAGTGGAAAATGATTGACTGATGAATGGAAACACCAATTTCATGTCTTTCAAGTTTTTACTATTTTTAATGATCTTGTTACAAGTAAAAGTGCAAGTTTAACTTTACTTTTAACTGATATAATTGTTTATTTTATTCAAGAAATATGATTTAATGCTCATATGTTATCACGATTTTTTGATCGTGGACGATTAAAATGTCTCCGATCTGCTTTTGAAGAAATATCGTAGTATCGTGCATTCTATCAGTTGCAGTTTTGGTGCCTCCGTGTCAACATACTGTACAACGCAACATATATTCACATCAAATGTTAACGCAGAGGAACGGGACACTGCAGTTCACAAAAGTTCATTATTTGCATGTGCTTTTAAAGCTCAATCCCGTGCTGATGTGCTGTTCTAACGTGCGCTTTCCTGAGCGCAAAAACCCGAAGTGCACATGCAATAAAACCCTGTCAAACAGCGCCTGGTTACTGGACTGTTATCTTTCGAATCTTATTGCGCTAATACTGTCAAATGCACAAGTTTTACATAAACAAAGTTGGTTATGTCTAAAGTGAAAGTAAACTGAGAAAATCTGCTTGTCAAATGCGTGTATATTAGACGTGTCGCGTGCAGGTATAGTAGTAAACATGCTACTGCTTGTCCTTAAAGGGATAGTTCACCCAAAAATAAAAATTCTGTCATTATTTACTCACTCTAATGTTCCAAACCTATACTCATTTCGTTCTTGTGCTGAACACAAAAGAAGATATTTTGAAGAATGGCGCTAACCAAACAGTTGCAGGTCCCTACTGTCTTCCATGGTAGTAAAAAAAGATACTATGGAAGTCACTGGGGTACATCAACTGTTTGGTTACCCACATTCTTCCAAATAACTTTAATTTTCAACAAAAGAAAGAAACTTATTCGGGTTTAAAACAACTAGAGAGAGTAAAGGGATAGTTCACTCCAAATTTTTAAATGTCATAATTTAAAGTTAATTAAACAACAAAACACAGAGGAAATCACTCACTGCTCTTGACTGAGAACTTTAATAGTAGCTTTAATAAGAATCAATGTATAATTTATACAGTGAAGTCTGTTATTTTATTTTCATATTTGTTCATTTAATTACTTCAATGCTACTGTTAAAGACACCTGCTGTAGCTGAAAAAATAAAGCACTGTTTATTTCATTTGTATATTAAGGTGTGTATGTGTGATGTGAATCTTTGTTTTTAATTTTTAATAACAAAGAAAATTACAGATTTTTTATCTTTGCCACTTTGGCCTAAATGTCTGCCATTCTTTTTTTATTTTATATTTTGTTACCTTGTAAGGCTTTGTTTTTAAAATAGGGACATTAGTTTAGCTGTAATGCTCAGTCACTTGCAAAATAGTAAAACCAACATGAAAAAGAACCGTGATAAAATCGTGAATCGTGATTTTTTCCAGGAAAACAAAATCGTGATATGATATTTATGCCATATCGTCCACACCTAGTTTCAACCATAAAACAATTGTGGCAGGCTCCTGTTCTTTCTAAAATGGACTGCTTAATCGGTCTTTGTCAGGTGACGTCACACTTGTGATACACGAAGTGCATTATGGGCGTAGCCGCCATTTGTAAGGTATCGATGCTGGGGTATTCTGTTGTTGGAGAATTGTTTTTTTTTCATTCTTTTTTCAAACTAAACCATCCTTAACATGACATTATCATCATCATCAATACAGCAAACCTATCTTTGCTGTTACTAACTTTACAGGATTTATTTACATTCCTACTGAAGGATACAGTAACTTGCTGAAATGTCCGCGGGCTTTAAGAGATTTATAGTTTTTAAATTGTTCACTGGTAACGTTATATGCGCTTATACCATAAACAAGATAGCTGACAATGCCCAAGTTTGAGGATGAGAAAGCAATGCGGGATCAGCACTCCAACTTACTGCAGTCAGCTGAGCTCATAATGGATCTATGTTCTGAATGGATGACAATTTCTCCAAATAACGGTACCTGCCAAATTTATCGAGTTTATTGCGGTACGGCATTTTCTCAGTTTTCTTGTGCTTCTCCAGTTTTGCAAGTTATTTACTTGTTATCTCTACTTTCGTAATCTCTTCAATGCTCACAGTCAGCAGCGATACCTCAAAAATGGCGCCGCGGTGACGTCACACATCAACAAACCCACATGTCTGACAAAGACCGATTTCACCTTGTTCCAAAAATTGGTCAGTTTTCTTGAAATTGGCCTTATATTTGAAAGAGCCAAACCATGACTGATTGGAATAATGGCATTGTGACTTTTTGGATGCAGGTTTGAAGCACTTTAAGACTTGACAAATCTTAGACTGAGAATTTTTTTATTTTTTCTAAAGCAGTTTTAAGAGGATAACACAGCCATTGAGCAGCATGATTGTAATTAGTGGGAATACTTCATTTATTGTTGCCTTTCCCACAGTCTTTAATGGATCAGTACTTTGGCCGTATGCGATCCTTAATGAACAACAAGGATTTGCCTGCAAGGATTCGTTTCCTACTGCAGGACACTGTGGAGCTAAGAGAGAACAATTGGGTTCCTCGCAAAGCTTTCATCGACAATGGACCAAAGACGATTAACCAGATTCGTCAAGAAGCAGTGAAGGTGAGTTGGTGGTTTTTCTTTCAGGTTTTTACAAAATACTGTCAAATATTATTTTTAGGCTAAGGGAGTCATTGGCCCTCATTTATCATTCTTGCGTAGAAACGGGCGTATATGTTGGCGTAAGATTATGCTTACACTCCTCTCACCGCCTGATTTATGAAGCTGTGCGTACCTTTGAAATCCAGGTGTACGCAATACCTGCCCTTGATAAATCCCGCGGCTGAAAACGATCGTCATTAGAATAACACGCCCCTATATATTCAAGTCTCCGCTTCCCCCACGCCCTCATTTTACGCCATGGACACACGGAAGACGGCAAAGAAGAGAAACTTCTCTGACGTGGAGCCCGAAATGACCTATCACAATGCAATATTTTACAGCACGTCTTTTGAATTAGCATTCAATTTCGAATCACGTTACATGTATGGGGTGTACAATAGTGATGATGATGATGTGATGTGGAGTACCATTCATTCACATTAATAATTGCATGACAATTTGTAATATTATTCTTAGTATTATTAGTATGCTTTGTATTATTAATGACGCTTATTGTTATTTAGAAGAAGAATGTCATTATTATTATTTGTATTATTATTATTATTTAAAAGAAGAAGAATGTTTTTTTTATTATTTTGTCAGTCTGAATTATTTTTTGGTCATTGAAAGCCTTTCGTTACCGAACCCAGTCCGTGCGCACCTGCCGGGCCTAACCATGAAACGTCAGGGTAAAGCGCACAGGCTCGCAACTGAAGGAATACATATGCTTATAAATCAAATGCTTTGGTAAAGTCACACAAATTAAACATTGAAGTCCATGTTGCACAAAAATAAACACTGAAGTTTATAATTACTGTTGTTGTTGGTCATATATCAATATATCATATCTTTTAGTTATGTCAGTTTGAGCAGTTGATCAGTTAGTTTGTCAGTGCGTTTTGTGGTGTTAGGAATTGTTTTTCTGCGCATTTCCGCACTAACTCAAAACGTGCGTACACCACCTCCTGAGCTGGCGTAGGATTTGAGCGTGCCGTACGCCAACGTTCATATTGATAAATCTCAAAGTCACCGTGGTTTTGGGTGTACGCCAGGTGTACGCTGGAAATTTGGTGTACGCACTTTTGATAAATGAGGGCCATTGACTCTTATTATAAACTGATGTGAGTTTATATAGTGCTGGTTATTAGAAGTTTTTATCTTTCCTTTTGTGAAGGATTTGGGTGTTTTTATTCCACCCATGAACCAGGGTATGAGAATGGACTTCTTCCTAGAAGGCCCCTTCATGCCGAACAGGATGAAACTGGATAGAGAAACTCTCGGGGGATTGGCCGATATGTTTGGTCAGATTCCAGGTGAGTAAAGAACCTGTTAATTGTATTGATCAACTGTCTCTTGATAAATGCCATGTCTTCATATTAACTGCATTTATATGTGCAGGTATTGGCATAGGAACTGGTCCAGGTGTGATCCAGGACAGATTTTCCCCCACCCTAGGACGTCATCGTACAAATCCTCTTTTCAATGGCCACAGTGGACATATGACCTCCCAACCACAGTCACAGTTTGACATGGGTATGAAGCCTTTCATCAAGTCTAACCAGGTAAGCATCATTTTTTCAGCAATAATTTGCCTTTTTCAAAGCAGTTTATGAGATTGCTAAATAACTGTATATCCTTAGGGACAGAATCAGCATTTTCACAATCAAAACCAGAACCATTCGAACCAGCAGCAAGCTCAATCTAAAGACATGCCTCCACGCTTCAAGAAGGGGCAGCTCAATGCAGATGAGGTAAACCGGAGACACTAATTACTGAGTAAAACCAAAACTTCTCGCACCCTGTGATTATAAAAAGACGCGTTATTCTGAGGGACTCAACTGGATAGTAGTTTTCTTTCTTTCTTGGTCTGTTCTGTTTCGTCCTTTTCTTTCTCTCTTCCTTTTGCTTCTTTCCTATCCCTCATTCTTGAACTCCTACCCAGTCCGCTGACTGCGATTATGAGATATGAGGGTGTGAATTGGTACAATGGTCTTAAACATTTTAATCTTTGTAATTAACCTAACAATGTTTGTTTTTCCATGATCCATTCTTACAGATCAGCCTTAGACCTGCTCAATCCTTCCTTTTGAATAAAAACCAAGTGCCAAAACTGCAACCCCAGATTCCCACCATGATTCCTCCCAGTGCTCAGCCTCCACGGACACAGACTCCACCACTTGGACAGGTATAAATCTCTCTAAGCTTTGCTGAACTCTCTTTTTTTACAACTAATTACATATGGGAGCAAGTCATTGCTATTATAGGGTTTTAATCTTATCTTGCCAGTGTGTTGCTCATCTTTCATGTGTTCTTTTTAGCCTCCTCAACTTGGTCTGAAATCCAACCCGCCTCTGATCCAGGAGAAACCTCAGAAGACTACTAAGAAACCAGCACCTACTAAGGAAGAACTGCTGAAAATGACTGTGGGTATCTTTGTTTGTTGTACTACTCTTATGTTCAAAACATTTATCACAGATTGATGGAGTATTTTCTAATGGTTCACGGATTTTGTTTACAACAGGAGAACATTGTAACTGAGTATCTGAACAGCAAGAACATGGAGGATGCTGTCATTGGTGTGAGAGAGATGAAAGCTCCCAAACATTTTCTGCCAGAGATGTTGAGTAAGATCATCCTCTGTTCTCTGGAAAGAACTGATGAAGACAGAGAACAAGCTAGCACTCTTATCAATACACTGCGTACTGAGGGCTTCATCACTGGGGAAAACTTCATGTGTGTAAGTTACCTTGCTTTTTTTTTTCTTAAGCAATCAAAAGGTTTGCATTTAGCATTTCACTGTTAATTCCAATAATTGTGCTTTGTCATCAGGCTCTGCTGAATGTCTTGGATCAGTGCCCTAAGATTGAGGTAGACATTCCTCTGGTAAAGTCATACCTAGCCCAGTTTGCAGCACGAGCCGTCATCGCTGAGCTGGTCAGTGTGGCAGAACTGGCTCATCCACTGGAGAATGGCAACCACTTTCCTCTTTTCCTGCTCTGCCTGCAGCAAGCTTCCAAGCTCAAGGACCGCGAATGGCTCACAGATCTCTTCCAGCAGAGCAAGGTCAACATGCAGAAGATGCTTCCTGGTAAGTGTCCTCCTACACTTCGGTTTTTATTACACAACTCTGGAATACTTGACTTTGATTGGTCATTTGATTGTTTTAAGTAGTGAAAATTGTTTTGTTTTTTTTGGTTTTTGCTATATCAGGAGAAAAGTCCTCTGAAAGATTGTTTTATTATTATTTGTTAGATATTTTGATATTAAATAGGATTGATTTAGTGGATTTTTGTTTTTCAGAAATCGACCAGAATAAGGATCGTATGCTGGAGGTTCTTGAGGGGAAAGGTCTGAGTTTCCTCTTCCCCTTGCTAAAACTGGAGAAGGAACTGCTGAAACAAATCAAGGCAGACCCCTCCCCTCAGACCATCTACAAGTGGATCAAAGACAATATTTCTCTCAAACTCCACACAGACAAGGGCTTCGTCAACATACTTATGACCAGGTACAGCCCACTGTATCTTCACATCTACAAATGCAGATATATGCAACTCAGATTTTGCTATAATCAATGTTGTAGTTTACAAGCCTTGCGGTTTTTCCATTTAACAGTTTCCTGCAGTACTTCTTTGCTGAGCTTGGTGTGACCGAGGGTGACGAGCAACTTTCGTCACCTTCTAAAGAGCAGCTGGACCTGGAGAAGCAACTGTTACTCGCCTTCAAGCCAGTCATGCAGAAGTTCCTCCACGATCACACTGACCTACAGGTCAGTGCCCTGTACGCCCTGCAGGTGCACTGCAATTCCAACGCTTTCCCAAAAGGTACAGAAACTACTGCGATTTGTAAGATCTTATATAAGATCCTGTTGAGATCAATAAAACATGACTGCTTATTTGAGGTATGAGGCTCTTATTTTATCTTTTTTTTTATTTATTGCAATTTAGGTATGTTGCTTCGCTACTTTGTCCACTTTTATGACCTGGAGATCATCGAGGAGGAAGCTTTCATTGCATGGAAAGAAGACGTTTCCCAAGAATTTCCTGGAAAAGGAAAAGCCTTATTCCAGGTGTTTATTTAACTACTGCAAACTCTACAGTGTTCTCAAACACAGTTATCTATCTCTCTTCAGTACAAGCATGTACATTTACAAATCTTTTTCTTTTCAGGTGAACCAGTGGCTGACTTGGCTTGAGACGGCTGAGGAAGAGGAGTCAGAGGAGGAAGCCGACTGAGGAGGGACTAATCCTCATAGTACATATTAATTTCCTGCTACATGACTCTTCTCTTTGGTTCCAACACTCTTTGCAGTAGCTCACACTCAGACAGCTTTATTACACTGCTGCTAGGCTCATGAATTAAACGAAAGGCATAGTAAGACCAATATCATAATGTCTCTGTTTGCTTGTATCCTAACCAATATCTGGCTTGTTATCGGGTTTTTTTTTTTTTTTTTAGATAATCAGCCACTATGCTTTTTCGGTAGAAAAAGTGGTAGTCAAATTCTCCTTACATGTTCTGCCTGGTTTAATCGTTTTTTGTTTCACAAGAAACGTGACAGGAAACCTTTCGATGTCTCTGCGAAAGTTAAGCAGTCACTATATAGAACCAATGTTTTGTTTGCAGTCTGTCTGGGGGATTGATTAACATTGATCATGAGATCCTAGTTGAAAGGCCTTCATAGGTTACGCTGTAGACACTTTTAGTGTTATTCTGGGTCGGTTGCAATATTTTATTCAACCCTCGTGCATGATTTAAACATCTAAAACTGTAATCACTGTAACTTTTTAGCAGTTTCCACTTCTACCTCCTGAATAAGCGTTATTTAGTACAGGCTTCTGATGCGTCTAAAATTTTAGCCTTGAATTAAGATCCAGAACAGCTGCATAGTCATTCAGTTTTGCACAACACACTACCTAATATCTCAGCTTGCAACAGTTTAAGTATTTTCCATTTGAAGTTTCCGATATCAAGCTATTAGTCAACTTAATGCCTCTGCTGCCCCAGCCTTACTTAATGTTGTCTGCAGTGTGGTCTGACAAGGTACCTGAGATGTGTTCTCTGTCTGATGGCTGTAGTAATGTTGCCCTTCAGGTCCCAATGATCTGCTGCAAATTATTCCAATCTTAACCCTCAAACTGGTGGATTATTTTAACCTGCCTTTTAATTGATCATTAAACGTAAATGGAAACCCTTAATGCCCATTAAAGGGGAAAGGCTTTTGCCCTTGTCAATAAGGGGTTCTCAAACAACCTTTTATTGACAGGTGTTTAATTGTATTTGACAGTTAATCTTGTTGTACTTACATTTGCCAACATGTTAACTGATCCAATTGTCAAATGAAATGGCTTATGATCATGTCATTGTAAGGCTGTTTAGTGCTGGATTCACCACTATTGCTGATTTTACAATAAAGGAAAAATTTGATCAGCTCAAGTGTTTTAAGTGCAATTATTCCTCATCAGTGGGGATCCAGAAATATTCCACTTTCCTGTTTCTCCTTGAAAATCCAGAATCGTGGGAGTCAGCCATTGGTGACAGCTCACTGAAGTGGGATGGGCCAGTGTCTCTTCCAACTCGCGGAGCTGCCACCCTGTACATTGTTCTGCTGAAGGGATGAGACAAATTAACAGTCAAGACATTTATTTGTCTTAATTTAGCATTGAAAAAAAAAAAGCCTACCTCCCTGACCTCCTCTCTGAATCCTCACTGTTGAGGTCAGGTGTGGAGATATACACAGGGTCTCCTTCCTGTTGGGGGCATATTGTTTAATTTTATTTAATAATAATAAAAAACAAATGTTTATTATTTTATTAATAATGTGCTGAAAAGAAAATCTACCGTGAAGTTCCTTGGTGTGCCGTCTTGATTTTTTAGGATCTTAACCCTCTGGTCGCTTTCAGTCATACACAGGAAGTAGCTCTTAATATTAGCTTGACACTGAAGTGAGATGCGAGTATGTGTTATTAGTGCCATCAAAGAACATTCTAAAGAGTAATTTGACGAGTAATGCAAGTAAAAAAAAAAAAGTATAAAATAAGATGCAAGTAAAATTCTGTTTACTTGTATATAATGATGATAAAATACAAAAGGAACTCTTCATGGATTGACCCTACAGTTAGGAGGACTTACGGCTTTGGTCTGCCTCAGGGACTTCAGCTCTTCCTGGGCTCTGATGATTTCTGCCAGGGCCTGGTGTTTCTCTCTCCAGCTGAGACACTCCCTGGTGCGATCCTGCCTCTCCTGCTCAGCTAAATGTCTTTCCTGCTCCGCTTCCTGCAGGGCTTTATTGGCCCTCTCACTCTGCTCTTCAGCAACCAAAGCTCTGCGTCTGGAGTTCACCTCCCTACAGAGGAGACAGACAGCATCATGAACCATTCCTATTTAGCTTTTATTCCATTATAATGGCCTGAATTCTGGCATGCCAGTCAGGATCTTTTGCTTAAATTACAAAAGATAAATTGCACTGCTGAATGCTCGTGAGTTTACTTTTCCATTATCTTCACGTTCTCCTCAGTCAGTTCTTTCAGTTTGTGTCGTAAAGTGTTCCTCTCATCTTCCAGTATTCTGTTCTCCTCCAGGAAAGTCTGCTTTTCTCCTGACGCCCTGTCTAGTTTAAGCTTGGTCTCAAAGTAATTCTTTTCAGCCTGTGCTAAAAGTAGCTGGACATCTTTGTGCTATGGATGACAGTATGCAAATTAGTTTAATTTCAGTGGAGCCAAAGTGTTATTTTGCATCCCGTGTATATTTTCATGATATTGTATGTGTACCTCTTTCTTCAGCAGCTGTAGTTCTTCGCCCAGCCGTGTTTTGTCAGCTAGTGTAAGATCTTTTTCTTGCCTGCTGTCCAGTGCCCGGGTCTCTGCCAGTGCCCTGCTCTTGTCCGCCTCTGCTCGAGCTCTATCGGCATCCTCAGCTGCCCTGGAACACAGTGTCGCCCTCTGCTGGCTGAGATAGAGCTTCTGTTTCAGCTTATTATAACAAAGGAAAGAAAACTGGTATTATTATTTTTTCTCTCTTGTTCTTCTATATTTCAAGATGTTTAATGTGCAAACCTCTTTAACTTGGGCCTGGAGTTCCTGGTTGAGATTCCGCAGGCTTCTCATTGTGAGCTCACTCTCAGTTCTCATCATGATCCTTTCCATGTGAATTTCATTAGACAGATACTTGTTCTCCTTTTTCAGGTCCTCACATTCCTGAACACAGATACAGCGACAATGAGGGTTACTAGGCATCCAAGGCACAAAGTATATTGATGGAGAATGTTTCAAATACTTCTTTTTAACTCTGATTATAACTAATTTAACAGCTTTTGCTGCTTAATATGTCTGTGGAAACTATACATACACACACACACACACACACACACATATATATATATATATATATATATATGAAAATGTGTGTGTGTGTGTGTGTGTGTGTGTGTGTGTGTGTGTGTGTGTGTGTGTGTGTGTGTGTGTGTGTGTGTGTGTGTGTGTGTGTGTGTGTGTGTGTGTGTGTGTGTGTGTGTGTGTATATATATAGGAAAAATGTGTGTGTGTGTGTATATATATATATATATATGAAAAATGTGTGTGTGTGTGCATATATATAAATAGGAAAAATGTGTGTGTGTATATATATATATATATGAAAAATGTGTGTGTGTGTATATATATAAATAGGAAAAATGTGTGTGTGTGTATATATATATATATATATATATATATATATACACTCACCGGCCACTTTATTAGGTACACCTGTCCAACTGCTCGTTAACACTTAATTTCTAAGCAGCCAATCACATGGCGGCAACTCAGTGCATTTAGGCATGTAGACATGGTCAAGACAATCTCCTGCAGTTCAAACCGAGCATCAGTATGGGGAAGAAAGGTGATTTGAGTGACTTTGAACGTGGCATGATTGTTGGTGCCAGAAGGGCTGGTCTGAGTATTTCAGAAACTGCTAATCTACTGGGATTTTCACGCACAACCATCTCTAGGGTTTACAGAGAATGGTCCGAAAAAGAAAAAACATCCAGTGAGCGGCAGTTCTGTGGGCGGAAATGCCTTGTTGATGCCAGAGGTCAGAGGAGAATGGCCAGACTGGTTCGAGCTGATAGAAGGGCAACAGTGACTGAAATAACCACTCGTTACAACCGAGGTATGCAGCAAAGCATTTGTGAAGCCACAACACGCACAACCTTGAGGCGGATGGGCTACAACAGCAGAAGACTCCACCGGGTACCACTCATCTCCACTACAAATAGGAAAAAGAGGCTACAATTTGCAAGAGCTCACCAAAATTGAACAGTTGAAGACTGGAAAAATGTTGCCTGGTCTGATGAGTCTCGATTTCTGTTGAGACATTCAGATGTTAGAGTCAGAATTTGGCGTAAACAGAATGAGAACATGGAACCATCATGCCTTGTTACCACTGTGCAGGCTGGTGGTGGTGGTGTAATGGTGTGGGGGATGTTTTCCTGGCACACTTTAGGCCCCTTAGTGCCAATTGGGCATCGTTTAAATGCCACGGCCTACCTGAGCATTGTTTCTGACCATGTCCATCCCTTTATGGCCACCATGTACCCATCCTCTGATGGCTACTTCCACCATGTCACAAAGCTCTAATCATTTCAAATTGGTTTCTTGAACATGAAAATGAGTTCACTGTACTAAAATGGCCTCCACAGTCACCAGATCTCAACCCAATAGAGCATCTTTGGGATGTGGTGGAACGGGAGATTCGCATCATGGATGTGCAGCCGACAAATCTGCGGCAACTGTGTGATGCCATCATGTCAATATGAACCAAACTCCCTGAGGAATGCTTCCAGCACCTTGTTGAATCTATGCCACGAAGAATTGAGGCAGTTCTGAAGGCAAAAGGGGGTCCAACCCGTTACTAGCATGGGGTACCTAATAAAGTGGCCGGTGAGTGTATATATATATATATATATGAAAAATGTGTGTGTGTGTATATATATAAATAGGAAAAATGTGTGTGTGTATATATATATATATAATTCATATATATATACAGTTTATAATTAATTGTACTGAAAAACATTATATAGTCTTCAACATAACTTGAACATGATAATACAAGTACATTTTACTGGCATTGAAAATGACTTAATTACAAGCTAATTTTCACATGCACGTCATTCACAATGTTCTGAAACATGAGGCAGAATAAGTGAAAAAGTCAAACCACAAATACAGAATTCTATTGATTCAGTATAAATACATCCTAATGTTCAGAATGTGCCCGCAGGATGTTGCTCTAATGTTCTCCATCATGTCAGCACCTACCTTCCTCTTCCTCACCAGTTCTCCCTGCAGGTGGTTGATCTGCAGGAAGGATCCGCTGGCGCTCAGAGCACTGACGGGTCGGACTGCACGTACAGGTCTTCGAGGAGGGTGTGTGGGTTTCGAAACTCCTTTAATCTCCTCAATGCTTTCGAATCGTCCCCCCATGTTGTTGCTGCTGTGAGAAAGAGACTTAAAACTACCGCTGTCTGAACCATAGGTCTTCATTGAAGTCAGATTCTGGAGCTCTCCATGAGAGGTGGCCCTTAGGGTCATCGTTCTGACTGGACGCTGAAACCAGTTTTAAACTGCAAATTTTGAGCAGTTGTAAAATGTTTTTTTTTGTTGTTGTTGTTGTTGTTGTTGCTTCTGTCGACCCAGAGTTCCTGTAGAAGTGCATGCAATGGGAACTAAGGAGACTCACCAACATGCAGCCTAGTTCAATTATTTATAGGGAAATGTTATACCACCACAGAGGGAGCAGAAACTCTATGCTACCACAAGGATTGAAACACAGCTCTCCTCGTCCTTGACTAATTGGACCATAGTGCCTCTCAACATCCTGAATTAAGCTGGTTAGGGTTCACAGCATATTGGTAATGATGCCAGGAATGGAGAATGACTAGATTTTGTTTAATTTTCTGATGCAAATGTGAGTGAAATTTTACTTTTAATGGAAAGTAGTATTACTGTACTTTTGTGTTACTTTTCTCACCTAAGCTGGGCTTGCTTCTTTGTTTTTTAATAAGAATAAAGTTCCCTTTTTGGCAAATGTAAAGGGCCTTTCACATCAAAATGAATAATGAAATGAATAAGCCTCAGACTGAAATAAATGCAAATTTATACCTGTACAGTAGAGGGCGCAGCTCAAACAAACCTCTCAGCTGTGCTGCCATCCTGGATCACTTTTCTTGCACTCTGCAGCAATTCAAAAATGAAACACAAATGTGCTGTTTAACTAAAGTCATTTTTGCTTATTCGTATGACTGAATTGGATCATCTGAGGTCAGCAGCAAAGACATCAGTTAATAAAGCGAGATTACATTTATACAGTGAAATACAGTATATTGTGTTATTTATCATTTAATTATTGCAGGGTTTTGCATTCCACTGTTTTTATTCATTTTGGGGATACTTAATCTGTTTTTGTGTAAGTGAGATGGGTAAATGCATGCTCACAATAGTGTAGAGCTAATAACCATCATGTTCACACAACATGGGGACAGGAGAGGTGTCAGTGAATAAATGGGGGACAAATGTAACTTGCGTTACTTATTTAAAAAATTAACTCAGATATTTACTTGTAAGTTGAAAAGTATGCGTTACTTTGTTGCTTGAAAAAAAGAAATCTGATTACGTAACCCACGTTACTTGGAATTCGTTAGCCCCAACACTGTTTACAAGTATTGAATGCCTTTACTTTACAGACATGGAAACTCAACCCCCTCTATTATTCAAGCATGTGAAGCAGCACAAATAGGACAAGTTCCACTGGCCTAGTTAGCTTTGTTTGTGATTTTGCTATAAATATTAAATGCTTAACAACAATTCTGCCATTTGAACAAAAACTGATTTTTTTGTAACATTTTGTGACTACAAACTAGTGATATAAAAGGAGCAGAGAACGCAAACCTCTTCAAATGTCCTGAAGAATAATATTGAAAGTCCCAGTCAATATAGCCTACCTTTTGTCATGGTTTATTTCCTGTGCTCTCTGCACAGTCAGGAAAATATGTTTTTATGTTCTAAGTCAGGAATTTAGAGATGAGATAATAAATTATGTTGATCTGCAAAATGGCAGGATGCTTTGAATAACTTCCTGTCATTTTGTACATCTCCCCTATGGGTTCATATGGAGGAGAAGATTTTTGCCTGATAGGTCTTCGCTATAGACTAACATAGCCTGTAATTCACTGTTCTCAGTCCCAGCTTCTTGCAATAGCAGCATGCCACTTGGCTGGTTGCTTTGAAAGTGACTTGGTAATGATCCTTTCTGTTTATTTAGCCTTCAAAATCACAGACAACACTGGATAGAATGCTCTGAAGAAAGAAGCAGGCCTACCTATGTCACTCATGCTACACAGGCTTATACATTTTTCACTTGGATATTTGGATACATTTTTTTTTTTTTAAATTAATAATAAATATATCAATATAATTGTTATAATAAAGCTTTAAAAACATCAAATAAATAATAATTTTATCAAATTTTATCATTTTATTTTTGCTTAGTATTTTTATAAAGGTATGCCTGTTAGGTGCCTGAGAGAAATTAGCTCCAAAGTGCCCGATATAGCTGCCTGGAAGTTGGATATTTTTCCAACTTGTCCAGAATGTCTATGATGTATTGAATGTGTTTAAAGATATGTAACATAACTAATGTACAACCACAGGAAGCAAAAACAATGTTCAGTTGTCCTCTGACCCAGCTTTAAATGCCCTCTTTGGGAAGGTCATCTTACAGATCATCCTCAACCTCCTGTTTCCTATTTTTATGGGTCCCTTTCTGCACCATCAACAGACTGAGTGTGTTCAAGCTTTTGGCCAGTTTTGGTGGCATGTGTTCTGCAGTCATGGCAAGAGTCTGGTTAGCATTTTGTCTACTGTTTTTCTTATTTACAAGCACACCCTGTCTGGACGTGAGTCAAATCCTAGGTAGGTTGCTCTCTTTCTTTTTCTGTTGATTTAAATGCACTGTTTTGCTTTTAATTATTTGTGAATCTGTACTTTTGCATTTTAGTCCCTTCAAATGATGGAATTTCTGGAGTGTTGTTAGTCCAAACCAAGACCAACAAGTACAGTTTTAATGCCACCACAGCGCATGAGGCATGTGAGGCTATTAAAATGAGAATTGCAAAGCTAGCTGAAGTGGAGACAGCTAACCAAAATGGCTTACAGACATGCAGGTAAAGCACTATTTAATGAGGGACTTCAATAGTTATTTAATAGTCAATTAAAAGTAATTTAATGGTCTGATTAATAGTCAATTATAGACAATCAAATAGTAATTGAATAGGTAATTAAAATATTACTGTAGATAGGCCTATATGATATTGATCTTTTTAGGAAATATGATTCCTATTTCTAAATAACATTTTAAAAATGGATGCTTTGTATATTTTAAAGTACAATACCAGATAATATTCATTGAAATAAAATATGAGCCATCTTTATCACATATTATGTGTGTTGTCTCATGCTGTCTATAATTAAAAATACAGTTGTGGCCAAAAGTGATGCCTGGACTAGGAAAATTGACATCTTCACCCTTTATTCAAAAGTTTGTAAAATATTTGTTAAGCATATTGCATGTTGTCAATTATTTTATTTGTGATAACACAAAAAAACAAAAAAAAACTAAAAAACATGCCAAATTGTGCAGACATCATTTTTGGCCAGGCTGTCATACAAATAAATTATAAACTTGCAAAAACAAGAGAGAGAAAAAATAGTAATAACTGACTATGTTCAGTATATGCTTTTTTTTCTGAGTTTGTTTTCTATGCATTTATATATATATTTTTTTTTTTTTTTTTTGCATAATAAAATAAAACCTGTAGCTGTAGATTGCCTTGTTTTGCCTAATTATTTTGTCAGATAAATATCTTAACCTTAACCAAGTTTAGTGTTTTTTCCTTCTCTCATATTTCAAATATTTACAAGTAAAATATAAAGTACAACTAAAGTATCTAAAGTCCTCATATTTTGTAGTATTTTTGAACTCTATAGTTTATAGTTCATGTTTCTTCTAAGAGTGCAATATCATTCTTTCACACAGGTTTGGTTGGATCGAAGAGCGAATTGCAGTTATTCCTCGAATTGAGAGAAATGAAAAATGTGGTCGAAACAGTTCAGGCGTTTCTGTTTGGAGAGCTGACATCAGCACAAAGTTTGATGTTTATTGTTTTAAACCAGCGGGTAATTATATGTGTAATATGTTTTTGAAAATGCTTTCATCATAATAATCAGTGTCCTGAAATAGGGAACAATGATGTTTAATGTGATTTTTAATCACATTAAAATTCTATAATATGTCTGGACTTTGGATTTTGTTAAGAACATATAATGATAATAAAATCAGTACATAAATCTGCTAACATAGTTTGTCAGTAAAATGTGCAACATAATCAGAATTTGTCTCTCTCAATGCACCTCAGGTCCTGATGGATCATTTGAAACAACATCAAGCAGGCCTCAACCTACAACAGGAGGAAGAACACCATCAAACAAGCATTATTTCACTGAAACAACCCATCCATCATCTATTAAGTCAACTACTTCACCTGCCTACACATCCACCCCATCCATTTCCTTTGCTTTCAACACTTCCTCCACAACATTTATAACACTTAGTCTTTCTGACATCAGTGAAAGTTCCCAGGCAACAACAAGCCCTCTGTCTCTTTCAGAACTTCCAGAATCTTCCAGAACCTCGCCCAACTTCTCAACCTCATCCCCCTCGACTTCCTCTTATTCATCCGTTCATTTTCTTTTTCAGCATACTTTAACTTCCACAGGTCAGCCTGCACTGTCCCAGACCACTACACCTCACAGAGCATCCAGAGGTTGGTTTTTAAAAGTTACATAACTTTTTAATCACTTTACACATTCATTTAATCACACTCTTTTGTCGGTTTTTTTTTTTAGCAACTCCCAAAACATTTGTCATCATTTCTTTTGTGCTACTGCTCTTGTTGGCAGCGGCAGGTGCAGCTTGGTACCTCAAAATGTACGTTTTTACTTTTAATGACTATTATGAGAGAGACATGTGTAGGCTTTGCATTACTGACTGGTCTATTCTCCATGCTTTTTTCAGCAAAAGAAGACAACGGTTTCCATCTTGGACTAGAATGAGGCCAAAACAGATTATTGAAACGGAGATGTGGAAACAAATAAATGAAAGGCATTGTATGCCAGAAAAGACCAGCAAAGACAACAACAATAGGAAATGTAACAACATCCTCCTTCAAATGGAACAAGACCCAAACTCTCCCTAAGAAAACACTGAACTTTGTATTTAAAGAGAGAGAAAAAAAGTCCTGTCACTGTATCTGCATGTAAAAGAGAAACCTGCACATTATTCTGATTTTTTCTCCTCTCATGTTCCACAGAAGAAAGCCCTGCAGACTTGAAACAACATTTTCATTTTTGGGGTGAAAAACCAATGATTATTATTTTTTATTTTTTTGTTTGATGCTCATTTAAAAAATATATATCAATATCAAATATTAAGAACTGATGTAAATACTAGTTTGTTCTTGATAATTTTTTAGCACATTTGACCATTAATGAACTTAATAGGCTAAATGAGAATAATGTGTAGCCTAGCCTACTCTTTACATTCCTTAGTTGTACTTGCTAGTATCTGCTTCAAGGTTCGATGTATTTTTTTTTTACAATCGAGTCTGGTCGTTACGTCATCATTCCGCGTCAAAGGTTTTCTTGCTATCATCCTGCTTGTCATCTCGAATATTTGCTTGGATAAAACAAATGTCAGCAGGTTTGTACACATTTATTTGCATCTCGATGAGTTCTTGTATATTTGTAGCTAATACCAACTTTTGGTGTATTTGCTTTAAGAGATTTATGTATTGTTTTGGCTGGGCAAGCTAACACTAGTAGCCAGATGATTGTTTTTGTAGTAATATTCGATATACAAACATCATCAGTATTTAAGCCGCCTTTTCACATTCCGAAATAAACCTATATTGTTCACTCGTGTACATTATTTTAAAAGAGAGTTCGTTTTTTGTTTTGTTTTGTTTTTTGGTAGCTACATCAAATTGGGCAGATAAGAAAATAAATAAACACCTGTTCAATTCGAAAGCACTGTTGCACATTTGTTATGAATGAATGTTTCAGGGATTATTTCAAAGTCTGCTAAATGTACCGCTGATCTCAATTGACAACTTGTGGCAATTTGTGGCCGTATGCTTTTATTGTAGCACATCAAGAAGTTAATATTGTTCCATGCGTCGCTGCCTAATAAGCATAAACTTAATTTTCATAAATATTTTAGGGTTAACTATTTAGTGAGTGGGATCCAAATGCATGTGACTGTGAGCACTAATGAAAATGCTTACTTTTGCACTCTTCTACATTACATTAAATATCTACATCACACATTTATTTCCCCCAAATCCTCAAATGATATTTAAAGGTTTGAACAAGTTTTCAGTGTTGTCTCAGACTTCAGGACCCCACAGTGCATGAATAAAAGAAATGGCTATATTTTAGCTGCTGTGACTGGCCGCCAGTTCTTTTAACAAATATAACAACACATTTTAGTGAAGTTTCACTACACATAATATCTATTCGGTGTGACAAAATAAATACATTTTTACAAGTTCAGATATTTTAGTGTATTCTATGAATTAAAATGAGGTAATAAAATTGCATGTGTAAGAAAATACTGTTTAAAGTACAGCATGTCACACTACAGGGCAGCATGTCATGTCAGCTCAGCATCCTCTCTTGTCTAGGGCCACACCAGCAGTGAATGAGGTCTAGAGTTGTTACAGAGCAGACCTCCATCTGGAGCCAGGATGGGCCAGCATCTTTCTGGCCAGGCAATGACCAGACTGCCTGAGAAACTGATCAAACATGTGGGGCTAGTGCGTGACAGTGGCTACCTCAACTATGACGAGTTCTTGGGTCGTGTGGCGGAGCTCAATGATGTGTAAGTGAGGCTTTTAGGATAAATCAATATAGTGACACAATAATCTGATGGAGTTTGATAAGAATATGGCGTCCCATAAAAACCATAATATTATTATAATATGGAAAACAATAAAAATGTAAATAATAATAATAATTGTTTTAATTATATTGGCATAAGAATGTGGCGTCTCATAAAAGCCATAACATTGTTATAATATTGAAAATGTTATTAAAACTATGTAAAACAAAATATTATTATTATTATTATTATAATAGGCACATTTTTTGTATTATAATGACACAATAATCTGCTGGAGTTTGATAAGAATATGGCGTCCCATAAAAACCATAATATTATTATAATATGGAAAACAATAAAATTTTTAATAATAATTGTTTTAATTATATTGGCATAAGAATGTGGCGTCTCATAAAAGCCATAACATTGTTATAATATTGAAAATGTTATTAAAACTATGTAAAACAAAATATTATTATTATTATTATAATAGGCACATTTTTTGTATTATAATGACACAATAATCTGCTGGAGTTTGATAAGAATGTGGCGTCCCATATAAACCATAATATTATTATAATATTGAAAATAATATGTAAAACAATACAATTATATTAAATAAATAATTATTATTATTTGAAAGAAAAATAACAATACAAATATATAATCTATTAATATTTTTTGAATTTTCAAAAAGTAAGAATGACATCACTATAGGTTCCTTCTTAATTATAACTTTACCATTTATTGTGGAAAATATACACATTATCCCGTTTGACAGATGTGGAATGACTTAATTTTCTTCCACAGAACTGCTAAACTAGCCTCTGGCCAAAAGAAACACCTTTTGTTTGAAGTGCAGCCTGGATCTGATTCAACTGCTTTATGGAAGGTTGCTGTGAGAATAGTGTGCACCAAGGTGAGGTCAATGTAAAGACCCATACATTTATCAGTGGAATATATTAATATGATTACAATGAAGTCAAGCTATAGACATTAGTCATTTGCTCTGCGTGGTTGATGTTTATCTAGGGTGGGATGGCAATTGTTGCTGTTCTCTCTGTGTTCTTGTAGATTAACAAGGAGAATGGAATGGTGGAGGCCTCCCGTATTATGAACCTGTACCAGTTTATCCAGCTCTACAAAGACATCACCAGTCAAGCAGCTGAAGTCTGGAGTTTAGAGGTGGCAGCAGAAGGATCCTCAGGACCGCTGTCATCAGAAGACACCTGCCAGGCCAGCATGTGGATGGGCAGGTACTTTAGAGACTGCATTTCTTTGCCAAATCTGCACCTGATGTAATGATGCATAATGGATGACTCATTGTCTCACCCAGCAAAATATGCTATTTGTGCTCTGTAACAGGGTTAAACAGTTGACTGATGAGGAAGAATGCTGCATCTGTATGGATGGGAAAGCAGACCTTATTCTGCCCTGCGCACATAGCTTCTGTCAGAAGTGTATTGACAAGTGGTAAGAATCATCTGTGATTCATCGTCATGACTGATTAATCGATTAGTTCACCCAAATAAGGAATTACTTGCCCTCATATTGTTCCAAATCTTTATAGCTTACTTTTGTCCGTGGGACAAAAAAAGGAGAAAATCTGATTCTGAATTCTGGTCAGGGATTCGGGCTTTCAAGCTCCAAATGAATAGTTTAGACCGACTTCGTGAATTGGATCCAGGGTATCTGCAAAGTTTTAGAAATCAAAACTTAATTAAACAGGCTGGCTAGTTGGTATTAAACATTTCCTAAATAACATGCAAGATGTTATGTTTTCTATTACATTTATTTCATGCACGGATTGATTCTGACAGCGCTGCAAGCTCACGACGTTGAAACGGTGTTATTCGCCATGGTTGTGATATAATTATATAAATATCTATGTTTAGGTTAGGTATCTAGGTTTTTCTTGCTTGTATTTAACTGATCACATGCCTGATATTGGTTTATGTACATATTGGTTCATGTAATACTAATATATCAATCCATACGAATTAGAGGTCGATTGATATTGGAGCACGGATATATAATTTATAATAGATACTGCAATATTCCATAAAAAAAACAAAGAGTTGTTGTTTTTTTTCCATGGTGACTTCAAATACTGTTCTTCGTCTTTCCTTCCTGTGACAGAGCTGCCTAGAGAGAAGCTACAAAACTTGAATTAAATGACAGATACACTTTATTATGTAACCAAAATGGCAATAATTACCAGAAAAAAAAAAGATTTTATGCATAATGTGGGACTTTTAATTAAGAACAATCCTGAAATTTGGACTCTAATTTTGAAATGTCTTTGCTTTACTACCTCCAGCTGCTCACTAAAAAGATGAGGCAGATAAAACATGCACTCTCACAACTATAATGCATAATAAATCATCAACAGTATCACTTGGCATAAATGTGCGGGTTTTATTTTTTAAAAACTGCTTTAAAACTGCACCAGAACGTGCAACAGTGCCACCTTTTGACCCCACCTTTTGAAGTTTATCATCACATTAAAGTCGGCATGAAATCAGGAATGGACCCTTTTCACGGACTGTGATGACGCGTTTCCTAAGTTATCATCATCATCGTAAATCTAGTTTTTCCCATTTTAATTTTAATTTGTTTTTTTAATTGTGATTCCTGTTTTTGACTTTTAACTTTTAACGACCTCAAATTTGATCAAACTGAATTTAAGACTTTTTACAGCCCGGTTCATTGAGGACTATATACTACAAAAATAATACATTTTATATATATATTTTTTTTTTTATTATTATTAAACATTTTTAATAAAGTTTGAGAGCTTCAGTCCTCATTCATTTTTTATTAGCATTATATGGGGGGAAAAAGTGAAGATTTTCAGAAAGTGAAGGAGGAAAAAGACAAACTGGTTTGGAACAACATTATGACAATAAATAATGACAGAATTCACAAATCATTTTAATCAGCCATGACAAACCCTGTGCTATTGTGTGTCTATGCCTCAATATAGGAGCGGTCAGAGCCGAAACTGCCCCGTCTGCCGAATTCAGGTGACTGCCGCTAATGAATCATGGGTCATGTCAGATGCTCCCACGGAGGAAGATATAGCTGGGTACATTCTCAATCTTGCAGATGAAGCCGGGCACCCACACAGACCTTAAAATGAAGCACTGTGCCACTGTCAAACTCACTGTCTCCCCATAACAGATGACCTTCTTTAAATACTTATTTTATTAGGGTGACTGGGTATTTTTTGCACTATATAGTGTCATTCACTGTAGGCAATAACTGCTGATTATTTGACTTTTTGTTTTGGTCATTTATAACATCTAGTCAATTGACAGACTGGGAATGCATGTTGGTAAATTCTAGACAACATGTAGCTGTAAAACATAATTCCCTCGTTGCACTTGCCGTTTTATCTTGTTTGTGAAGTAATTGCACTTAATCACGTTTGTTCTGTAAAGGCCTTGTAACACCTGAAAAAACATCACAGTATCAGCATGTTCAACAGTTTAATAGTATTGTTGACACTATAATTCAGTCAAACATGATTTAGTAATGTTGATGTTGGTTTATAATCTAAGGTTTAACAATAATTACAGTGATCCATTTGACATGAGATCTTTATCTGTGTAAGTTGGACCAAATGCTAATTATAGGGCATGACTCAGTTATATTACATTCATTACGAAAAATAATTGGATCGTTCAAATGGATTAACATTTGAGAATGAACTAATTTGCTTGTTTTCTTCTGAAGCTTAATAGGTTGCAAATGAAACCTTTATTTTATAGGGCATCACTGACACTTTCAGTGGAGGTTGGTTACCTTTTAATTTTATTTTATTTTTCAGTTTGAAATCCTAGACTTTTCATCTCGCACTTTTCTGTGTATGAGAGAGACTGTGAATTTGTGGGCTTAGGGGAGTCACTTGTATTATAAAAGATATGATAATGTATAGCTCAAATTTTCTACATCTATTTACAGTATATACATATAAATTTGTGTGGCAGTTTATGATGATTTAATCCAGTTTATCAAGATCTACTAATCTAGTTTAAAAAAAGTTAATTTCTGCAATATTCTCACAGATTTATAGAGATTGGACTGAATGTTAATAGTTTTATCAGATAAAATAACATTATTAGCTGCTTCCTAGTGTTGTTTTGATAGAGATTTATTTTACTTATGGACTAAATTGAGATGTTTGATGTTCTCAGTTCTGTCGTCTTGTGTAAATCTTGAACAATAAAGTAAATTGAATATTTTTTTCTAGTTAGTTTGTTTGAAGACTGTAAGAGTTCCTAGTACTTCCACTGGGCTGCAGTGTCGAGCAAATAAAGAATACTTTTTCTAATGATCTGAAACATGAACTATTACAATCTCATTATGAATTGATTCAGCAAGGTTTTTTTGACACCACTTCATTTATTTTACTTTGAGTGCAGTATTCAGATATTGGCAAAGATATGAAGCATTCACACATGTTTCAGGTGGCTTTTCAGAGGCCAAGCACCCATACATTATACAACATCCTTACAACAGTTTAACCATCATTGTTGGTGTACAAAATGTGCAAGTTCAAGTACACAAGTCTATTTTGTGCCACACAAAAAAAAACCGCCCCAGAATCTCAGGTTGCAAACAAACTAGTTTAAATAATTCCACTTCCTGTGACTTTTTTTTTTACAAAAACATATATCTGAAAAAAGAATACACTATTTAAGTCAGAAACCCGAAGACTCCCTTGTTAAGAAAAGGTAACAAATGTAAGCTCCCATTTTCAGAAACCATGCAAAATACTTAAACAGTTTATCAGAACGTCCCATATTTTTTAAAAGAATTGATTTGAGATATAAAATATATACACATAAAGCACCATGATAAGGGATATGCCCATCATTTAAGGCATTAAGTCACATGACCACACATCTTGCTACCTGAATGATGTATATCCATGGCTCTTTTGTGCATCACTTATAGCAAGATAAAGTTTTATGCTGATGTCTGGTCCACTCATATGGACCCTATCGATCACCCTGCCGTGTTTACGGGGCTTGTGCGGCCAACGCTTCTGACTTGACGGCATCCACTAGGAAGCTGAGCTCATTGCACAAGATCTCGTGACGATAGGCGACACGGATTTGCGCCACATTTGTAAAACGGATGTCATTACCCTCTGGTCCATCCTGTAGATAATTCTCACCCAGGAAGTGTTTCTTCTCCTGCAAGGGAAATCTAAATGTCAGCTTTTACAAAGGCTGATGTTAAATTCAGCATTGGAATGTGTTTAAAATTAGTACTAGAAAACTGTTCTGAAGGAAATATTACGGGTTCAGTAGAAGTTAAGCCCAACAACAGTATTTAAAAAAAAAAATTTAATTCAGTTACAGTGAAGCACTTACAATGTAAGTGAATGGGGCCAATTTATACATGTTAAAATACTTGTTTAATCTTACAGCCAAAAACAAACATACGAATGCTAACATGATTTAGGTGTAAAAAAAGAAAAAAAAAAGAAAAAAGTCTTATTAATATAAAATTTTACAACTTCACCGGCATGGCAATACATAAACTCCAAAAACCCTTAAATTACTGTAAAAATAGTTTAAACAGCTTTACAGCTCAAATTATACGTAAATGTTAACAGAAGAATTAAAGGTAGGCCTATACACTTTTGCCGAACAAACCGCATGCGTTTTGCGGAAGGACATTGTAGCTGGAGCTACTTTTGGTCCTTCCGAAGTCTTCGTATTTGTGATTCGGTGGCTCTTTGTCAAAACACCATTCAAACTGCTTGCTAAAGAATGCGAAAAGCGCAAAAAATCGAACCCGATTCGACTTTTTTTATGACGGACGAAAGTTTCGGAAGCAGTGTGCAAGCGTGATTGAGTAGGATTAACGTTAGGTCGTATTTATTTTTTAACGTGCGAAAATGTCGGACGCGAATTTCAGACTGTGCAAGGGCATTTAATGTTGTAAAGTCATGCAGGTACTGGGCTACACACACTATGGCTACACCATAGACTGTAAAAAAAAATGTAGTTACACCGCAGTGGCTCCGTCCGGTCTAAAATAGTTCGAATATATTATAGGCGTACCGTAGTGATTCAGAATAAGACTAAACACTTTTTCGACGATGGATGCATGATGTACTCACTCATAAATTCTGAACAAATGTTTATTTTATTTTTGTTTTGTTTTTAAACAAACGAGGACGAGCTGAAATTATTTGTAAATCAGAACCTAGAATAGCCTATTCCTTATAGGTTAAGACAGAGAGAGAAAGTACCTGCTGAGACAGGCCGCTCTGAAGCACACTATTTCTGGCGATCTCACACACATCGCATGTGCTCAGTTTCCACAGTTGTGCTGCTATGGCGTACTCCTCCATCAAGGCCTCCTAAAAGTACATAAACAACAGAATCACATCACCTGACTGCTTTAGATGATTACACTCAAAGTAGATTAATAATTAACTCATTCAGTGTTGGCAGTGTTTGTTGCTATGCGAGTCATTCACAGGAACTGCTTTCCCAGACCTTTGTGTAGTGGAACTGTAATGGGTCATCCGTGGAGAGGGACACACACAGGCCCTTCTGCAGGAACTCCCTGAGGGGATTCTTGGAATACTCCAGGAACAGGCTATTGTTGCTGAGTGGAGACATGGCAATCGGCACCTGGGCCAAGTAATACAGGTACTGCAGCACAGGACTCTGTATTGAGAAATGAACAAGAACAATGTTAAACCACTAGAAAATACTACATCAGTACTACATAGTAGGCCCTACTGATGATTTGCAAGGTTTTTTTTGTGTAATAAATTACTCCTTTCTTAGAAACTTAGCATACATAGCTCAATAATAATGATGGCCAGTTGGCAGAACTGTCACTTGTCAGTATTGTATCTTTTTTTCTTCTTTTTTTTCCTTTTTTTTGGTCAACTAGGTGAATCTATCTGGCTACATAGATGATTGGTGGTCTTTTTTTTCAACATAAATGAGGGTATTTTTTCTACAAAATTGCAAAAATGACTTAGTATGTCACCTTGTGTGCCATTGTTTAAACTATACATTTACAAATACAATAAAAATGTAAAAATAATAATTTGTAATTATACATTTAAATTTATGCCCAGGAGCTTTGCATCCCTGTCATACAGTGTCATAATCTCTTATTTGTCAGTGTTTGATTTTGCAAAGTGATACAGTTCTGTTTAGCCAAAATGAGCTGAGATGCCTTGTACGAGTGTAAACGGTGCAGATTTATTTGTTATTATACATTTAAATTCATGCTTTTATTTGGTGGCAGTGAACATTACCCCAAACAAGGAAAGCTGAAATGATCCTTACTGTTGAAAGTGGTGTAATAATTGTTTATTTAGTGGATTCTGAACTACTCTGCCTATGGGTGCAATGTTGTGTGGTTTGATGTGAACAATTAGTTTTAGAGACTGACCTTCTTCAGGTTCAGTCCGTGAGAGATGTTGTCAGCCGTGAGGAAGGCTGACACCAGATGGGTGATGGATCCTGCCTCGCCACAGTGAGGACGGAACTGGAAGGTATTGAGACCACGTTCCCTGCGAAAAACATTTTCACTATTTAACATGGCTTGTGACTTCAGTTATAAAGCTTAAGGCTAAATTTGAAGGGAATAGCTTGTCTTGATATATTAGCTTGTTCTGTGAAGACAATGGGTTGTAGTGCTGAAATCAGAGCTTGATCTTTATAGTGACTTACTTGCGTAGGTTGTTGAGGACCATGATGTTGGCATACATGTGGAAGAGGTAGTAAGTGTATGGTGGGTTTTCCTCCATGGTCCACTCTTCCGGTTTTGGACTCTTATAGGTGAATAAGTGATCACTATGTTTGGACTCATCATCCACACTGTCAAACCCTATCACCTGCAGAAAAAAACATAGAAAGCTTTTTTGACATCTTTTTACAGCCACTTTTTGCCCTCATTTTCCTTAAGGGTTGGAGCTTTATATTTACATAAAGACTAGGCAAGGTGGCGTTCCTTTGACTTTGATGACCATCCTTTGAAAAATCGACCACACAATGAATAGAATACATTAATGAGTTGGGGAATTAAACACATTAATGTTTTTTTTTTTGTGATTTTATTGTAAATGACTATTTTTCATGGACTCATATTCATCTGAGAACTATTCAATTGTTCATAAGGGATTTTTGAAGTCTTGATTCCCTACTAAAATGACTGTTTTGTGTTTAAGCTTTTAATGTCAGGGTTCTGTCACTTCGGTTTGTTTATTCTTGGTTTGGTGACAGAGCTCTGACACTGTTATTGAGCGTGCGGTTCCGAGTTTGCTTGGGCCGTACACTCTTCTGTCCATTTAAGTTGTTTTGTGTGCGGACTCTGTGGAGTTTGGATCCCGGCACTTCGTTCTAGTTAGGTTTCGGTTCTTTCTCGTTGTGTTGCACGCGGCTCTTGTTTTCATCAGCCACATACTTTTATGTTATGTTTTGTCTTGTGCTGTGTAGCACAAGACTTGTGTTTATCGTTGGCTGCGTTATTTCATGTTATGTTTTGTGTGAACAGGCGGCTTATGAGTGTTCTCAGCTGCGTGTTCGTGTCTTGTTTTGTTTGAGCACATGGCTTGTCATGTTTGTTTCTTTGTGCCATGTGTGTATGTCTATTGTGTAACCCTACCCTTCTTGTTAGCTTATTACTGGTTCAGTTGTCCCACCTGCTCTCCCTCTTTACCTGCCTTGTTTGCTCCCTATTCTCCTTGTGTTTTTAGTCCTGGGCCAGTTTGTTGCGTCCTGTGTGCCCTTGTGTCCTGATCCCTAATGCCATGTCATGTCCTGCCAAGTCAAGCTGACCAGTCCTGTTTTCCCCCAGGGGCAGGGGGTAGTTTTTGTTTTATTTTTTATAACAAATATAAGCCCATTTCTGCATCTCTGAGTCCTCACCTCATCCCTTACCTCAACCCTGACAGTTAATTGCTCTGGTGGTGTTAAAATGTTCTGCTCTGCTCTGACTGGTCTTGCCAGCTTAACAAAACTCTGAAGCACTTACGTGTTTCAGGAAGACATGTGTTTCTTTGTGCTTCTGAGGGTTGATGGTGGCCTGGAACAGTGGGAGGAAGATGTTCTCCAGCATCTTGGCGAAGTTGGGAACAATCTTCTTTGATCTGAAAATGTCACTAAAAACAAAGTACACAAGTCAGGAATATTTGCTTTTAGAAATACTGAATATGAATTATGAGCAAGTATGAGTAAAAATATAGTATGAGTGGAAACAT